AATGCTGGAGAAGGTAGATAAGTAGAGGCCTAAGGAGGGAAAGATTTAAATTTAGCTCTTCTCATATAGTTTTAATTATGAGAATTTGAATTCATTGCAGGAAGAAGGGTATATACAGTGGAGGGAAATAGAGATGGCAATTGTACCCAAATTTTTGGGTACCAGCCCTACCCAACCCGTACAGGTCGGGCATTACCCGCTGTTTGTGGGGTTGGGCACGAGTCTCGGTATGGTTTTAGAGCCTGTCTTCAGGCTCAGGACAATCATCGCCAAGCCCAGCCTAGCCCGGCCCAATTTGGCTCAAGTTTTATCATTTAAAAAAAATTAAAATTAAAATTTTATTTTATTTGATTATGATTTTAAAATGAATTTGTGATAACAATCAATTGGGATTTTAGTCAAACCCAAGATCCCTTGTCCATCATATTAATTTATACACACACAAAAATATGGTGATTAGAGTAAGAGATAATGTTAATTAAGTTAATATGAATGACAAAGAAGAATATATCAAAGATTACCCGTGAAAAAATAAATTATAGAAATTAACATGAGTGGGGACTAAGAGTCACAAAAAGCCTGTCGGATCGGGCCTGGGCATTACCCAACATCTCACAACGGGCCAAGGTCATGGGATCAGGCCTAAGCCTGGGCCAAGGGGTACCTGTTTCGGCCCGGCTCATTGCCATCTCGTAAAAAGGAGAAGAGGGTCATTTCTAAGAAAAGACTCCTTTTGTTCAGGTCAAATGCCAAGGGTCCTTATCACCTGTCATTTCCAATTGGGATGTCATTGCTCTCTCTTAAAAAGGAGAAGCGGGTAAGAAAAAGGGGAGAGGGAGAGAGAGTGACTTTCAAAGGTAGCCTGGATCCCATCATCCCACACACGGAATCTCCCTCATTTCAGTCTTCCCCTCAGGCTTCTATAAAACCATCTGCCACCCCATTCACTTCATAACACCAAACTTCATCTGCAACCCATTCACTTCCTAACACCAAACTTTTTATTCTATAAAAGGTGAACCATAATCTGCGCCCATGGCCATAACCATGAACTGGAAAATAGATTTACGCTTTCTTCTTCCACCTCTCCTCAACCTTCTCCTTTTTTTACTCAACAACCAATTAGCTTACGTTGATCTATTTCACAAAGAGGACGACGACGATCACTTCTTCTTGTTCATCCTGGCCTTGCTCTCTCTTCTTTTTGCCACTCTCTTCTTTCTACTCACCTCCATCAAACTCCCTATACATGTTTTGACATACCCACTTGTTTTCAAGTTCGGTGACTTCTCAGGGCCACTGGCTCTGGCATTACATGCCTCTCTCCTCCTTCATCCCTTACTCTTCTTCATCGCTTACTTAATTTGCATAGCTATTTCTCCTTGGTTTCCAAAGCTGGTAGAGACTGTGAAGTGGTTATGGCTATCGTTTTATCATGACCTTCTTCAAGCCATGCCTTCCTTTGTTTTAACTAGCATCAATCTGCAGCAACCACCGCCGCCGCCAATTGAAAGAGGAGAAGAAGAAGGTGGCGACAACTTCATCGTTCCTCTTTTGCTCCAAGAAGTATCAAATGACTCTTCTGATACTGAGCTTGGGTTAGCTTGAGCTATGTGAAGAGTCTGTTTAAACCCAGTTTTTCAGATTTTAAGCAGATGTGATTCATTTTGTTTTTAAATTTTCCCTTAGTTTCCTACGAAAAATATCTGTTGTTGTGATTAAATTTTCTAGTAAATTTAATAGAAATGTTATTTATTTTATAACTGTTTCTAAACATGAGGAGAACTTTGATCATATATACAGGGCCGTCTCTAGAACATTTGTGACCCTAGACAGGAGTCACTTTGGGACCCTCTAATAATATAAGCATATATTAAAAAAATTATTTCATTTTTTTTTTTTTTTTTTTTGGCCTTTAGAGATGAAAAATCACTAGGAGAGGTGGACAGTAATCGGCAGGCTAACAAGGTTAGGTTGGTGGGGGGTTTTGGAGAGTAGATGTTGGAGAAGTGATGGGTGGTGAAATGAGTGATTTCTAATGCCAAGATTGATAAGAAAAGGCTTGAGAAGTCACGGCCCAAAAGTCATCGATGGGCGGCGATTGGCAAAATAAATGGATAAGGTATGATAGGGGTTTTGGTGAGAGGGTTGAGGGGAGGAAGATAGTGGTGTCGGGGAAGGCCAACAATGTCGGTTACATGCCAAAAAGGCTAGAAATGGTTGTCGTGTGGTGGAGTTGGGTTGCGAGATTCATCAAAAATTAGTCAAATCGAGGGCTATCAAGGTTGGGAAATCATAAAATGATGATTTCGGTCGATTTTGGTGAGAATCGACCGGAACCAAAATTGACCGAAATCAACTCCAAACCACTGGCGGCAGAAGAGGGCTGGAGATGATTTATGTGAATGTAAAATTTTTGGATTGAATTGGGGGTGAGTAATTTGAGATATGTAAATGACTATTTTAGTCTTCCATTGTTAAAAGAGATTAAATGTGTTAATTTAGGGGTATAAACTAGAATATATAAAACTAGAGGTACAAACTTGCTATTTTGTTAAACTTTGGGTGGGAATATATGTAAAAAGTTTATAATAAATTTGGGCTTTTTTTTTAGGGTCCTTTGGCTTAGATAAGAAATTATAAACCATTTTCATTTTCGTAAGATATTCAAAAAAAAAAAAAAAAAAAAATTTATAAAAAATTTGGGCCCCCATTTTTTTGGGGCCCTAGGCACCTGCCTACCTTAAGCCGGCGGTGCATATATATTTGGGACTTACCTGTTGCTTATGAAATTAATTAGTCACATGATCAAAAGTTTTATTATGAATTTTCATTTATCATGCAATGAGCTGCAGATCTTGTTGTGTGATGCATCAACAAAGAGTAATATATTATAATGAGTTAGCCATGATGTCTGGATCTGGATAAACATAACTTGGATCTTGAGTTTATAAATAGGATTGTTTAATTTTTCGTTGCAACATTGGTGTGTCGATGTTTGTAACTGTGGATGAACAAAAAGGGCCTTTGAGAATTGAGAGGCACAACTCTGGTCCGGAGTATTTATTTACCTCCCAATTTTTGGGCCTAGATTATCAGGAGGTTTATGCGAAATATAAGAGGTAGATTTTGTAACTCCAGAATATATAATATAAATAAATAAATGGGCAGAATGAAAAGTAAGTTGTAATAGAGATAGGGGGTGTTTAAGTAATGAAAATAAATGGAAAAAGAACGATAATCAAGGTGGAGGGACAAAGACTAGTCCACCTTTGACTTATGCAACGTAACATGACGTATAATTTTACCGAGCAACCCGTAATCTCATAAAAACACAGGTAAAATAGGAACAAATAAATATTATTTTTAATTAAAAAAAGATAAAATATTTCTTTAAAATGTATTATTATATCAACTCTTTAATTAAATTTTATTAACTTTAAAAGAGGATATTTTTTATTATTTTAATATTATTTTTAATCAATTAACCGTTTATTGAGTCAAAAGATTATTAGCGTAATATTTTAAAATGATAACATCGATACTGTGTATTTTGAAACATTGTCCTAACTTTCCTTCAACGTAGTAAAATAAATAACTTGCCCATATACATAACCTAATTAGTCAGTGCTCTTCATATGGATTATATTATTTATATATATATATATAATTTTAAATATGTCTTTTGATTTGTATATTCTATTTATTTTTATAATCTTTTTTTTTTTTAGAATTTTCAAGGCAGTTTCTTCACTTATAAAGTATATCCTCTAATTTCTAAAGCATGAATTTGATCAATGGACTCCTGCATACATGAGTCAACTAATATTCAATTGAAAAATCTATATGAAATTAATTATTCCTACGCCGCACAACCCAAGTTTGTCAATATAAACATTCTATAATTGATAATTTTCATTTTCAATTTGAAGACAAAAGAAGCCCCTAACTCAAAATTGATAATGTATGACTCTAATTTCCTCTTGAGATTGGAAAAAGTTGGTGAATTACAGTCATACATGATATATTTATTGGAGGGATTTAGAATTAAAAGATATCTACTAACAAATATATAACAATTAAACAAAAGAAAATAGTTATGCTAATAATTCAAAATATTTGATAAAAATATAATAACAATTCGAAGAGGATAAGATTTGACCTAATGAATAAAAATGGTAACTTGAAATTTGAGTGATATGATAAAGATATAAAACACAATGTAGTTTACGAAGTATTAGTTATGTATTGATCTAATACAATGTTCGGCTAATAACAATGATATCCAAAGAGTAAATCTTTCCAAAACCAACATATGGAAAGCTTATTTTGCATCATCATTTAAGTCAAAAATAGATATAAAAAAGGCCATCCTTAAGTCATATTTATTCCAATAAGAGCAAACTACCAAGTTCAATGATCAAGTAATATAGTGACACTTCAACATTAAACATCAAGTTTCCAAAACAAAGCTCATTGCCTTCAACTTACCCTAACCCTCATCGACTGCTAACAACCATGTCAAAATGGTTAACAACTCACAGCTTTAGCTTCACCTTTTACCTTTTTTTTTTCTTCTCTATGTCTCTGAAAGTATTCTACCTAGAGAGAGAAACCTAAAATCCAAAGGGCCTGTCGGCTGCACAAAGAACATATACTATCCAAGCATAATATGCCTGAATTTATATTTATTTTCAATGTTGTTAGTTTTTACTTACATGAGAGAGGGATCGCACACCTTCACAAGCTGGAGCACGAACCACTACCAACAGTATCAACTAGAGGGCACCTAGTAACTATCATCTCATTCCAAAGTTAACAATAAAACTTAAAACCCTTCTGTTCGGTGGGATTTAGAGTTTTGTGATTTTAATCTTACTCGCAGAGCTAGTTGTGAGTCGTTTTATCCAACTTAATCACCAAGAAATGATAAGACCCATACACCACTTACGTAATGGGAGAGCTGAAATTTCCAACAGTGAAACATAATATTTTGGAAATTCAAGGAAACTCCGAGACATAAAAGTAATACTAAAACAGTTGTAATGCATACCTCTCAAACATAATTCAACAAAATCTTCGAAGCAGTTGTTACGTCCACCATAACATTAGAACTGCCAAACTCACTAAAAGTATCAGAAAAATCACACAAGATCATCATACTTTGCCTACACAAGTTCACTGACCTAGACCAGAACACATGTCCATTTCCATCTGCTGCTCAAGCACGATAATCTAGTACCAGTCATGTCGCCTGCTAAAGGTAAGCAAAAGAATCATTAATATCTAAAAAATAACACAAAATTTCAGATACACACACATACATAAATTCAATTAGTCAGTCATTACACCAAATACCCTCACCTTAATTTAATTAGATAGGTAATTATCATGGCATTAAAATAACTGGCTCAGAATTTATCACTACTTTTAGTACTGCACCAAAGGCTAGTCTTTAAAACAATGAAACAACTTTGGAAACAAAAGATTTAATGATGGAAAATGAAGTTTGCCGAATGTTCAAGCACAATGAAGATTTTATGGTAACAATTATCCAGCAGAGCAAATTTTGAATATGCTTTCATATATGAAGGAACTAACAAAATCAAAACAGTCAGTAAATGATGTCTCCAATTAGCTGTAAGACTCTTATGCATAAACAGCATTTTTGGTATATCCTTATATAGCCAAAACCTCTAGTCTAGCTACTATATATTAACTCAAAAAATTAACACAAAAATAGAAAATAAATAAATAAATAAGAGGAAAGCCAAACATCATGAAGGATGGTAAGAATCTAACTATGAAGGGAAGCAACCACCGCCGCCGCCAATTGCAAGAGGAGAAGAAGAAGGTGGCGACAACTTCATCGTTCCTCTTTCGCTCCAAGAAGTATCAGATGACTCTTCTGATATTGAGCTTGGGTTAGCTTCAGTTACGTGAAGAGTCTTTCTTTACATTCAGTTTGTCAGATTTTAAGCAGATGTCATTCATTTTGTTTTTAAATTTTCCCTTAGTTTCCTAAGAAAAATATATCTGTTGATGTGATTAAATTTTCTTGTAAATTTAATAGAAATATTACTTATATTATAACTGTTTCTAAACATGAGGAGAACTTTGATCATATATACTTGGGACTTACCTGTTGCTTATGAAATTTATTAGTCACATGATCAAAAGTTTTATTATGAATTTTCATTTATCATGCAATGAGCTGCCGATCTTCTTGTGTGATGCATCAACAAAGAATAATGAGTTAGCCGTGATGTCTGGATCTGGACAAACATAACTTGGATCTTCAGTTTATAAATAGGATTGGTGTGTCCATGTTTTCAACTAGAAATGAACAAAAAAGGGGCTTTAACAGGCCCAACTCAGGTTCGGAGTATTTATTTACCTCCCAATGTTTGGCCCTAGATTATTATGTGAAATATAAGAGGTAGATTTTGTAACTCCAGAATATATAATAAAAATAAACAAATGGGCAGAATGAAAAGTAAGTTATAATAGAGATAAGGGGAGGTTGTTTTTCGTATAGGTGGCGATGGGGGACAAAGACTAGTCCACCTTTGACTTATGCATACATAACGTATCATTTCATTGAACAACCCGTAATCTCGTAAAAACACCGATAAAATGGGAACAAATAAATATTATTTTTAATTAAAAAAAGGGCAAAAATTTCTTTAAAATGTATTATTATATCAACTCTTTAATAAAATTTTATTAGCTTTAAAAGAGAATATTTTTTATCATTTTAATATTATTTTTAATCAATTAACCGTTTATTGAGTCAAAAGATTAATAACTTAGTATTTTAAAATGATAACACCAATACTGTGTATTTTGAAACATTGTCCTAACTTTCCTTCAACGTAGTAAAAAAAATAACTTGCCCACATACATAACCTAATTAGTCGGTGCTCTTTATATGGATTATATTTTTTATATATACATAATTTTAAATATGTCTTTTAATTTGTATATTCCATTTATTTTTATAATCTTTTTTTTTTTTAATTTCAAGGCAGTTTCTTCACTTGTAAAGTATGCCCTCTAATTCTTAAAGCATGAATTTGATCAATGGACTGTTGCATACATGACTCAAAATTGATAATGTATGACTCTAATTTCCTCTTGAGATTGGAAAACGTTGGTGAATTAGAGTCATACATGATATATTTATTGAAGGGACTTAAAATTAAAAGGTATCTACTAACAATTATATAACAATTAAAAAAAAGAAAATAGTTATGCTAATAATTCAAAATATTTGATAAAAATATAATAACAAATCGAAGAGGATAAGATTTGACTTAATGAATAAAAATGGTAATTTGAAATTTGAGTGATAATAGTAAAGATATAAAACACAATGTAGTTTACGAAGTATTACTTATGTATTGATATAATACAATGTTGGCAAGTGAGTTGGCTGCAGTGTTTTCTTTAATTGGTAAAGAGAGGGGGAAGAGAGGAATGAGAAGAAAAAAATCAAAGAAAGAGGGGAAAAAGAGAGTGAAAGACGGAGAAGAAGAAGAAGAGAATTCAGACAAAAAAATGGTTACGTATTTCTCTTTGTAAGGCTAACATTTCTCAAACATAAAATAGCTTTGCTAAAGTGGCCTCCGATGGAAATTTAGCATGCTTAAAATCCCAATAAAAGTCTAAGGAAAACTTTGTCCATTATAAGGCAACATAACCTGACTAGCACAAACAGGACTAACATAACAGCAGTAACACAAAAGAATTTTAAATTGTGAAATTCATCTTACCTGAAGCTCTGCCAGTTTATCGCGGATTTGCATATAACCTAAATGAAGCTTCCCTCCAAAATGATCTGCTAAGCGATGGTCACTGAAGGTAACAAGAAAAATCAATATATTTCACTACATATATCGAAAACTTTCAACAGATAAGACACTTATATGGCACATTTTGCCCATATATTTCTATCTAACAATAGCATGATCACAAGCATATAAAACAGAAAAAATGACGCACATTCTTTAGCTGCAAAAGTTATCCTCGTAAAACTGGGCCCAAAAGCCTGCTGGTGACAAGGAGGTATAATGGTCGGGTCAAAAGCTGAAGCACTTGAAACCCCAAAATACTGATTCTTTGTTGCCCTCAGAAAAGCTAAAAGGAAAAAAAAAAAAGTAGTGATTTGGAAAGACAATCAATATTTTACCTGTCATAAATGCTCCAGAAATTGTCACAAACACGTAGCTTCTGGTCAGCCTGAAACACCGTTGGAGTTGATAATAGTAAGAACTGGAGATAGCGAAATCAAACAATCACATTAACAGCTTTTATAAAGTACCAGGTCGAAGTTAATTATCACGAATGCATATATGCGACATACGAATACAGAATCCTCTCACACCCCAGTTTAGCACGGTTAAATAACTAAGTTCCCACCTTTTATATGGTACTAGAAACTTAAGGGTGTATGGAACTAGAACTAGACTAGGCTAGTTTATTTGGATTCTGTTATACACGGGAAAATAAAGAGCTGACGTGGGAAAGTCACGTCAGGAGTAACCTGCCCCCGTCAGGACAATGTGCGCACGTCAGACCTGCAAATAAACATGGAGCTCACACGCGTCCGTTTCTCTGCAGCAAGTCGTGCGAAGTCAGCTTGGAAAAAGGGAAAACGGGACGTGAAGATAGATGATATCCTGACAATCACACCAACCCGTAGATTTAATGATGATTACACGCTTCAATTTGGTATAAAATGTAGAAAACCTCTCCATTAAGGGGATTCGGCCATTCATTACAGAAAACAACTTTCTCTCTCTTGTAAAAGCAAAAGCATATTACTTTCATTAACTCTTATGTATGTCAGTCCGCTTAGCGACCTGACCCACACTAACATCAATACAAAATCAGTGGACGTAGGACTTGCTACCTTAGCATCCGAACCACTTTAAAAAACCTCTTTTCATTTATTTCACTTGACACATCCATTGTTACGTGCATTAATTCACAAAATAGTGTCACCCACGTGACAATTGGTTGGTGCCGAAAACGAGCATCAACAGATTCGATAGGAATTGAATTATATATAATGTTATCAGTGTTTGGAGCATACCGAACAGGATTATAAATGTTCCAATCACAATTAAACCGTTAAAAAAAATTAATTAAATATCAAAATTTGTTCAAAAAAAGAAAATTAATAAAAATATTTCATTAAATTATTAATTGAAATTAATGATTAAATAATCGTGATATTTTGTAACATCAAGAACTGTATTACATTTAATCTATCTGCTTATAAATTCTCAACTCATTGAAGAACACAGCGAACTAAAAAAAAAGAACATCATATGTTTGACAGAGATCTAAATGGTGATATAAACCAAAAAGGAGAAAATATGGACCAATAGTCTCAAAAGTCAAAAGTAAACTACGATTTTCGAGAGTTAGACTTTCTTAAGTGCTTCAGCCTCTTCCTAAGCTTTTTGTGCCTCATCCACCATTCCTTGCTCAGCTGATCAATGAACAAGAAGAAGATGGGAGGAGGAGGAGGGAGAGAGAAAAGAGAAAGGGAGCAGAAAGGAAAGAAAAATGAGGGTGGGAAGCGGCGAAGAAGATGAATGATGGAGATGAAAGAAAGAGAAAATGGAGTAAAAGATAATAAAGAAATAGAAAAAAATTGGGATATAAAAAGTCAAAATTGTCCCTTAGAGATGAAAGAACATACTATATCAGTTTACGGTTTTCACTTACTTTGGGGCAAGGCGGGTATTTGTCTTCTCTAAACTTTTTGGATCCCAATTATCTTTATAATAAACTCTGAATAGGTGTAAATCGTTCCCCAGATGAATTAAATTTTTTTTTCATAAACAAATAATTACAAATAATATTTTATTTTTTCTTATTTTTTACGGAAAAATTAATTAAAGTAACCAACATTTTCTATTTTGATTATTAATAAATAAATTAATAAAATAACCAATCTTTTTTAATAAATAAATTAATAAAATAACCAATCTTTTTTAATAAATGAATAATTAAATAACCATTATACTTATTTATTTATTTATTATAGGACATAATTAAAAGAGTTGTTAATATTTTATTTCTTATCAATATATATTAAAATAACCTTCCTTTTTTTTTTTTTTTAATAAATAAATAGTAAATAATTAATTCATTTTTTTATTCTATAAAAATATAAAATAGGTTACTTTATTTAAAAAATAAAAATGTTCAAAATTTCAAAACCGATTAAAGCTACATTCCGTCCATCAATCTTCTGGTCTGGGAATGAGAATATGTGAAGGAATAAAATATGATTATATTGCTTGCATGTAACAAAGTTGAAATGAAATAAAATTATACGTGAAGGCTTTCTGTCCATTGATCTTTTGATTTGGGTGGAAACCAAATATCAAATATCGGCGTTTGGATATCATGTTCTTCCATTGTCGAGATTGACATCCATATGCTGGTAGTTGATGGTTTGTTTGTGCCTAGACTGGGAGACCGATGGACGGAAAAGAGCTTTAATCGGTTTTGAAATTTTGAAAATTTTTATTTTTAAATAAAGTGACTTATTTTATATTAAAAAAAGAATTTCGAAATTCTGATAATATTTTAAAAAATTCTATAAAAATAAATAGAATATACAAATTAGAAGACATATTTATATTATTTTCGTTACATAAAATTTATATATATATAATTTTTATTAGAATTTTAACCGAACGGGCCTTTCATTGGGACACGTTCATGGCAGTTTCGCTTGTAGAGTTGCAGTTGCAAAAGCAAATCCATGGACTTTGCAAAGTCTGCTCATGTATAAATAAATTAGTGGACTTTTGCAAAGTCTACTCATGTATAAATAAATTAATAAAATAACCTTTTTTTTTATATAAATGAAAATAAACTAGCCATTCATTTTTTTTAACTGAATAATCATATAACCATTATACTTATTTATTTATTTATTATAGGACATAATTAAAAGAGTTGCTAATATTTCACTTCTTATCAATAAATATTTAAAATAACCTTCCTTTTTTTAATCATAAATAATTAAAACAATAATTTTGTTTTTGTTTTAATAAATAAATAGTAAATAATAAATTCATTTTTATCTTTTATTTTCTATAAATATATAATAAATTCTTTTTTATTCTTATTTTTATAAATAAATAATTAAAACAATTATTTTTTCCTTATTTTCATTTTATATAAATATAGAACGAAATAAGATAATTGATTTGATAGCTCTTTTTTTTTTTTTTTTAATAAATAAAATCAATTGCCTCTAACAATAATATATTTGTAACACTGGCTTATTGTTTCAAGACTCCATCCTTTTAAGTGAATTTAATTCATTTCCAATAATAAGTAATTTGAAGATTTTTTTTCTTCATTATATATTTTGATATTCTAATAAGATTTTTTTCTTTTTTCAAATTCTATTTTCTATAAAAAAATAAAAAAAAAAGCAAGTTACCTTAAGAGTATTTTTAAAATTCATGGAGTTACACAATAAATGCATAAATATCTTAGTTATGTATTGATCTAATACAATGTTGGGCTAATAACCAAAGAGTAAGTCTTTCCAAAACCAACAGATGGACAACTTATTTTGTATCATCATTTAATTCAAAAATAGATATAAAAAAGGCCATCCTCAAGTCATATTTATTCCAATAAGAGCAAACTACCAAGTTCAATGATCAACTAAAATGGTAAATATTATTCGTCACAGCTTCAACTACACACACATACATCAATTCAATTAGTCAGTCATTATACCAAATATCCTGACCTTAATTTAATTAGATAGGTCATTATCATGGCGTTAAAATAACTGGCTCAGAATTTATCACTACTTTTAGTACTGCACTAATGGCTAGTCTTTAAAACAATTAAACAAGTTTGGAAACAAAAGATTTAATGATGGAAAATGAAGTTTGCCGAATGTTCAAGCACAATGAAGATTTTATAGTAACAATTATCCAGTAGAGCAAGTTTTGAATATGCTTTCATATATGAATGAACTGACAAAATCAAAATAGTCAGTAAATGATATTGTGAAGAGGAAACACAACCTCTAACGCTAATTATTAAATATAATAATAACAAGTCTTGGCCTTTTGTTAACTAAACAGTGTGGGATATAAGCACAAACCACTATTTTAAGTGTTTAAGCCAATTTTACAACAAATGATGTCTCCAATCATAAGCAACATTTTTGGTATACCCTTATATAGCCGAAACCTCAAGTCTAGCTATTATATATTAACTCAAAAAATTAACACAAAAATAAAAAAATAAAAAAGTGGAAAGAAGGATGGTAAGAATCTAAATATGGAGGGAAGCAAGCACCTGCGGCAATCATAATCAACGTTCCTTTGACCGTGAGCGTGACCTACTTCTTGAATCATAACTGTGGTGGCGATCCGAATCCCGCTCACGCTCTCGATCATATCCACGGTCTCGTTCATAATACCTATCACAATCTTGGCTACTACGGTCATAATCCCTTCCCCGGTCACGGTTGTCTCCTCAATCACGATCACGACTCACACTCACTTCCCTATCGCGATCTCTACTTCGTTCTTTTGATCTATACAAAAAAGAAAAGCAGCATTTTAAGGACAAGTTAAGGAAATTAAATAATGAAAAAACAATAATAATGCCTTCAGATTACCTTCTATCATCATATCGATCTTTGCGGCTCTTGTTTCTCTCTTCCTGACAAAATAATTGCCCATAAAGTACCACTAAAAACTCCTTATATGAACATGAGACACCACTTAAGGGTAGGAGAAACTAAGTCTCTTATCTTTTATAAGGTAGGAGAAACTTAACGGTGTATGGAACTAGAACTAGACTAGACTAGGCCTGCAATCGAACCGAACATGAGCGAACAGGCCAGTTCGAAAATTGTTCGATAAACATGTTCGATTGTTCGTGTTTGAATGAACACAGGATGTATGTTCGTGTTCGTTCGATTAACAAAAAACTCGTTCATGTTCGTTTGACTAACTCGTTCAATAATTTGTAAATACTTGTTCGAATAACTCGTTCGATAACTTGTAAATACCTGTTCGAATAAAAAATATACACCAACTTTCCAATTCATGCTCTAAAAAACAAATATGCAACAATTTATAATTCATACCCATTTAATTCAACATTTGAAAATAAACCAATCTCTATCTATATTTATATTTTAAACAAATCAATAAAAACTCAGTAAATTAAAATAACTAACCATCATAAATAATAAAACTTCAAAATAA